TGGCTGATGCACGCTGGCTCGTGGCATCTTTTGGTGGGAGTCTGAGGTACTGAGGTTCCCCCCGCGACGCGCGGCCACTTTGTTGTTTTCGTTGTCGACACGTGCAACATCTTGCAACCGACAACCTTGCTGCGCCGCGCTCGGCTGTGCGTGCTAGAGCCCATACGTGTCCCGCCGGAGTGGCATCATCGATGTCGCGGTGCGAAAAACCCTTGCCAGCTCTGTGCTCTAGCGATATCCCGCTCGACACTGTCGCCTACCCCGGTTTCTAGCCGACTCCCGGCGAGGCGTAGCTTGCAGCTGGACAAGGACCACGCGTGGAGTGGTCATGGAAAGTGGGCGCGGACAAGGGAAAAAAACATCACTGGGAATGGTGACATCCGCATGTGTCGGCATGAGACCGGCGCTGCGGCTGGCATTAGGACCTGCTGGCGACAGCAGCAGCGCTTGGGACGCATGCCTCTCGAGCACGTGCTGGGCGGCCGGGCGCTGGCGGCCTAATGGTCACGAGCGTCGTTTCTGCGGAGGGCAACCGGGGGGTCTCCGGGAGTGAGCAGCTGATTGCTGGGCGGCGGTGATAGAAGGCGTTTGATCCCTGCAAGGTGTGCACCAGGCGTGTAGCCGTCGTGCCGCGCCAGCATGACCGGTGTGCTGCATGCCGGGTTGCTTCAGCATGCTTCAGCTCAGCACAAGCAGACAGGGAAGGTGGCAAGACATCGTGTTACCGATAAGGCCGTGAGGGCAGCGGGCAAGACCCGCAGCAAGTAATTGGCGCGCGGTGCAGCGCAATAGCGCAGGAGCAGCCACGACGCCTGCTGGTCCTCGATGCTGGGTCTGGCTTCGGCGCGGCCCGAGCGCGCCCCGCCCAAGCACTGTGTGACCGACTGCCTGCTGGACGGCAATGGAGAGCATGCTCCACGTACCATGGGTTTGGGGAATGTTTCGGGGTGTGTTAAGATCTTGGGGCATGTTTCTGCGTGTGGGTGTATAGGGTTTCAGTATTTTTTGGGTTGCTGCATTCTTGGATGTTTTCAGGGTTTAAGCGGCCGTGTTCTTTGGTTTGGGGATGTTTCTGCGCTGTGGACGTTTCTTGGGTCCGAGATGCATCTGTGCGAAAACTACACTGGCGAAAACTACGCCGTGTCTTGAGAGCCGCATGCCATATACCACCTGGGGGAAACAAGCCAAGGCACACGCGTACCATGAACCCTGGCTTAACCCCTCCCCAAAAACGCTGTGTTCGCGCAACTCGACGACATGTAAGTGGCACTGTCTGACCGAAACCGGGAGCGGTACAGTGCGGTGGTCAACACGTTACGGAACAACGCGCGTGTCCAACTCAACCTCGGCAAGACAAAAACTTCGAATGCGGCTAGTGAGGAGCCTGCCAACAGCGTCCTGACGCCGCTCGGTTCCGAACCGTCGATCTCATATCAGTTTCGCGCCAAGCGGGCTACCCGAGCCCGAAACCGCTTGCTTGGGGCCGGCACATGCTGACGCGCCGGCCCTGGATGACGTGAGCCGGCCTAACCCGGGACCAGGTTTTGCCTTAGGAGCCGATGGAGCCGGACGTAGCCGGAGGAGGAAAAAGTGAAAAAAACTTATGGGAAGAAAAACATCGAGAAAGATGAAGCACTTGAGCAAAAACGAACGCAAACCCAGAAACCCTAAACTGCTGAACATCCAAACCGTGCATGGGACATACAGCAGCTCGAAACGGATGCAACCGGCGCTCTGTTCCTGCCGCCTGTTTTCGTAGCGATGGGTAAGCGACGGCTCACACCGGTTTGACAAGCGATTGGCGGATGTTGCTTGAGTGGTTCTAGGATGCGTCTCGAGCGGCACGAGGCAAGTTCTGAAACAAAAAACAGTGGTCCAAAAAGTGGATTTTGCAGATACCCGCAGCTTGCTTGAAGTTTGGATTTTTGCCGGTTCACACATTCGAGATCCGGTTGATGCGTTCGTGAGCACAACAGCAGGTGCTGTACGACGGCGTTACATTGGTTGTACAAAAGCAGTGCATGCCTGCTAACGTTCTACATGTTATCTGGTTGCAGATGCAGGGCACCTACAAAGGATCGTGATTTGTAGTAATGTAGGGGCGCATGAAGCCTTTGTGTTCTGTATGGTATGCTTTGTTTCAATCATGTTCTGTCATACCACGACTAGAGCAGTGATGTTGAACACATGGCAGAACGCCGACTCGTGCAAAGCATTTGGTCATGAAACACAGCTCGGCAGTGAGCTCTGTGCCATGGTTTCAGTTTCGCCATTGCAGTGTTTCCAGAAAGCATTTGGTGAGCTTGCAGCGAGAGGGCTGCGCGACGTGTTCACACACAAAGCTTGCGGCCTGGCTTCGATTGGCTTGCATCATGGCGTCGTGTAGAATTCATGCTGGATTGTCAGAACGTTCGAGCCTGCCAGGTACCACGGCATTCAATGTCAACAAACTCCAGCATTTTCTGAGCTTGGGAGAGATGTCACCGCAAGTTGCACCGTGCAAGCCTCGGCCAGAAACCGAAAAAGATGTCACAGCCTCAGTCGTGACAGCAGTGTCAAATCAAAGCAAAACATGCAGCACGTAGGGCTCAATTTTGCAACCCAAGCTTGGCAACCTTGTTGACGCAGTATGAGCTTTGTCGTTGGTGCAGAGCCAAATCGTGCGTTCCTAATCCTTAAACCTTGGCATCTATTGAGGATATCTTGGATTTTCTCGCCAAGATGGCGTTGCATGCCCCGGAGATTTGGTTTTCCGTCATTACGGGCTTGCAGTGTCCGCAGGAGGCGAAGAACGATTGGGCCAACATCGGCGTCGCTTTTGATGCAAGTTCCCGGCTTCGGCGTGCTGGTATCGAGTATTACCATGCCCTTCTTGCAGACGCTCAGCGTGCGGGAGAAACTGGGGGGCTTCCAATCTGCTACTTCGAGCGGCTGGCTGCTGATGCGCGGGTTGATTCTACCACCAAGCAGGTTCCCAGCCGTCCCAAGTCGTCCCATGTTCGCATTGTGGCTGTCAGTGACACACACCTCCTCCACGACAGCTTGGAGATTCCTGATGGTGATTTGCTTGTGCATGCTGGAGATCTTAGTTATGAAGAGTCGCGATCCAAAGATGCACGTGATGTGGATAATAAGTGGGATGAATTTAACGGCGATTTCCGCAGATTCCTGGAATGGTTCAAGTCATCTGAGTTGGATGCTGCACGCGCTCTGCGATGGCTTGGCACTGTATCAGAGTTCGAGCACAGAGTATTAGTTGGTGGAAATCACGATTACGTGCTGGAGCGGATCGGGGATGCCAATGCCATCGAGCTTTGTCAGACTTTCAACGTTCATTATCTTTGCACCACGGCGGATCCGGAGCAGCTGAGATTCCGAAATGGATGCAGATTAGCAGTCTGGGGCTGCTTAGTTGTCAATGAGCTTGCTTTGGTTACACAGCCGACCCCTGAAGGACTGTAAAGGCCCAGTCGGTGCGGGACAGTCCCAACCCGAAGCCCGAAACCCTTCAAAACCCGAATCTCCGAGGGCTGTTCAAATCCAACCTTAAAACCATGTATCTCTAAACCCTGAGTCTTAAAACCTACCTCGATATCCTTACACCAGTTGCAGTCCCTAGTCTCCGGGGAAAAAGCGGCAGTGCTGGCCCATTCACAGATGTGTAGTTGGAGGGTCAGGGCGATTAGCAGATATTAGTAGGGTCAATAGAGTTACTTTGGTTATACGGCATAGGTAGAATTACCTTACTCAGGGTACTTGTAATTCTGTTTACGACCTACTTGCCACCTTTCTCTTGATCCCGCACGTCGCCTCGATGTTGTCGGATATGTTGTCGGACTTGACCTGTGCATAGGGATGTTTCAGGTTTGCGAGAGCGAGTGCAACCACCTGGCTATTTCTTGGGCATTCAGCTTTACACAGTAGAGAGCATGTGTGGTTCTGAAGCTGAGGTTCAGGGGTGTCAGCTGCGTCGAAGCTGGCTCAGGGCCGCGCAGCTCTGTCGGGAAACATAGCATTTCAGCTGGATGCGGAGAGCGGTGAGGCACAGTTTCGGGAGATGACGGCGAAGCTTCCGGCAGGGTCAGTCGATGTCATGATCACCCATGGGCCACCTTGCGGAGCTCTCTATGGAGCCTCTGGGAAGACCTTCCCCTCGTGCATCAATGACCTGATTTCGAGAGTGCGACCGAAACTTTTCATCTGCGGCCATGCTCACAATCCTGACGACATGCAATCCGACCAGAAAGCCGTCGACCTCGGCGAAGGAGTTTTGGGAATACATGCTGCGTGCACAGGCAAGTGGAATCAGCTCTTGGGTATGCCTTTTGTGGTGGACCTTCCAGCCTGTCGAGACCCGGCGACGCAGGCGACGGGCCGACCTTGGAGAGAAACACTTTGCTCAGCTGAGGGGTGCAGAGTGTCGTAGTATGATGGAGGAAGCGGCGAGAAGTGACCTTCAGGATGCTGTATGGTATACCGACTGTCAGGTTCACCCTCATCTCGGAGGGTTGGGTGTGTGCTGACCTGCGAAGCAGGGCCCGACACATGATTTCTTTGTGGTGCCACGTCAGCAGGCCTGTTCCGTCTCTTGCAGGCAGCAGGGTAGGTGGCTTCTGTCGCTCTCACTACTACCTGCTTCTGCAACATTCTGTTTCTCAATATTGTATCCCGAAAGCTTTCGCAACGTAGAGCAGAGTCGCAGAGAAGCTACTGTAGCGAGTGGGCATGAAGCAAAATGGAGGACGGTACTGCACGGTTGTTTATGGTGTTGTGCTTCCTCAGGCCGTAGGTAGTTGCTGGTATTCGCGACTTCCGCAGTGCAAGTGCTTGCATCAAGCTGTCCAGATCCGACGGTTTGCGCGAAATGGACGTGAAGTCGTGGCTTGGGTTTTGGCACTGGGCGCACAATGGATGCAAGCCGAACGGCAGCATCACATTGAAAGAAGAAGAAGATGGACAACGTATTCTACACACAACATTCAGCTCAGGTGTGGGCACATGGTGGCCACATGACCAGCAGGCTTCGTCTATAGAATTGGAGTGGCAGTCAAAGGGTGGCAGCCTCGTCCGACACACGCTCAAGGCAAAGCCTTCTCAGATCGGTGGAATCGGCGCAGGCCATTCCCAATTTCGTGTCGTGGCATGTCACCGCCCAAGTTGTAGCACATTTGGAGTCAGGGAAGCTGATGGCAAGGACGGGGATCTCTCATGGGTACCCGACTCGCGGACGATCCGGACATGCGGCTGGCGCAAGAGGCTTGGCACAAGTGCCGCAGCTCTTCGTGTCAGCTCGAAGCTGACCTCGGCCAAGAAGTATCTCAGTCACGAGGATCCCCCGAGCAGTGGAGTCTTCGACTCTCTCTGCCCCAACTGCCGGCGGCCTTTGAACATTGCACTCGGCTGCGGGGAGCTGTTGACAGTAACCTCGCCGCTCACGGAGGCAAAAAGGTACGAGTGCAAGGAAGAGGCTGAAGGCTATTGCAGCCCTTGCCCCACTTGCAGGAGGCCCATACTCATCTCCAAGGTTTCTGCACCTCTTCCTGGTCAGGTTCCCTTCTTCCATCGACCTTCTGTCGGCACTTGGCTGCAGCCGTGCCCTGGCAGGGCTTTGGCTTCCAAGCGCTCAAGGTGTGCATACGCCACCCTGCTTTACGGCACTTCAGTGGAGTATGTTCGTGATGCCCGGGTCTTGGGCTTCTCGCTTCGGCAGTCCGGAACCCCTCACGACCTGGTCCTTCTTCATACGAGTGATGTTCCGGAAGAGTATCTGGAGATTCTTGGGCGCCTCTGGATCTTGCGTCCTGTGGACAGGATCGATGCTGCAAGCACGCTCTTCACACCTCACAGCCGCTTCCGAGGGGTCTTCACCAAGCTGCATGCCTGGGGGCTCATCGAGTACGACCGCGTCATCCTCTTGGACTTGGACCTGCTAGTGCAAGAGAATGTGGACAGCCTCTTCGAGCTGCAACCGCCGGCAGCAATGTGGGCAGCGGGGGGACAAGTCCACGGACGCCATATCGTCGCTCCTCATCCCTTCAAGGGTTATCACAAGGTGGAGCCCTGGGGCAAGGCCGGCTGCGTGCAGTTCTCAGTCCTTCTGCTGTTTGCTTTAGAGCGCGGTCCAGGCGGTTTCAGGTTCAGGCGAATGACAGCATCTAACTCATCCGCTACTTTGCGTTGTTTCGCACTAATGCTGAACACTTGCCAAAGCCCTGCTAGCAACAGTTTGTCCGTGCATTGAGCTTAGGTGAACGCTGGTGTGATTCTTCTGGAACCGAATCTCCAAGACTTCGGGCATATGAAACAGGAGGTGGAATGCCGAGAGCATCCCGAGCACATCGTGACCACCTCGCCGGAGCAGGACTACCTCACACGGTTTTTCTGGCACACGCCCCACTGGACCCACATTGACGTGTCGTACAACTTCCAGCTGCATCACCTGGCCCTGCGGCTGCCTGACAGCCAGAAGGAGTGCGAGCGCCGCCAGCTCCGGTTCGAAGACATCCGCATCGTCCACTTCTCAGCCCACCCGAAACCATCGCAGCGCGAACCCGATGTCTCGGTCGAGGCCTTCGTGGAGCAGGCGATGGCTAACTACGAGGGTGTTCAAATCTACGTCCGCCACGACCCCGAAGCCATCGAGAGGCGCACTAGTAACTAGCACCATATAATATACTATAGTCAAGACTAGGTGATAAGGGCTAAAAATGCTCAATGCCAATTCTGATGGGTTTAATAAGCGTGATCATACTTCTCGAGAGGCGCAACCGCAGCGGCAAGTTCCCGAAGCTGGAGTTGCGCAGCTGGGGCTCGGGCTCCGAGACCGGCACGAGGCTCTTCGAGGAGTCCCGGGCTCTTGGGGAGGAGAGCCAGAGTGGGAGCGCGGAGCTCAAGGAAGTTACGGCGTCTCCTGCAGAGTTCCAGCGAGTCCGGGAGGTCTGCCTACGATCCTTTCAGGCCTGGAGTGAGGCGGAGAAGCAGTGCAAAGAGCGCTTCGGATCCCCAGACCTTTTGGAATCTTTCCCGGCGAAGCTGGGGAGTCAGCTCCAGGGAACATGTGTGGAATGGGACCGTGCGAGAGGCATAGGGTGGATCCGCCCGGATGATGGGAGCAAGCTGATCTTCGTGCACTTCAACGGCTTAGTAGAGAGCAGGGGCGTGGGGCGAGCGGGGCGAGCGCAACTGGAAGAAGGACAGCTGGTCTCCTTCTCCGTCGGTGAGGATGACAAGGGGCGGCGTACGGCGGTAGATGTCAAGGCGTCTGTCGCGCAGATCGACGCGAGGCCTCTGGCAGAAGAGGGTCGGGAAGAGGGGTCGCAGCAAGCCTTGGAGGAGAGAGTTCGGGGAAACTGCACGGCGTGGTATGCGCAAAAGAAGTTTGGATTTGTTTCTTATGTTGATGGTTGCCAAGAGAAGAAGGTTTTCCTGCACCAGAAGGATCTGCTGGTGGATGCAAAGGACTCGAAGGGAGCGTCTGCATTGAAAGTTGGCCAAACGGTGCAGTTCACGCCCGCCAAGGAAGAGAAGGCTCCCGAGAAGTTGAGGGCTCTGTTCGCGACTTGCACAGAAGACGATGACGAGCTTGTGTGCGAGGTCCAAGCCTTCGCTGCATCGGATGCTCTCACCAAGAGCTTCCCTCCCGGAACGCCATGGCAACGAAGGTTGCTACATCAGGTGGCTCGTGCCCTGGGCTTCTTCACACGATCCGAAGGTGAGGAGCCGCATCGTTCCGTTTGCATCTCGCGGGCAGAGGAACCAAGCCCTTCCGACTCTCAGCAGAAGGTCTTGAGGCTCCAGGCTCGCATCGAGGAGGTCGCAGAGATGCCCGGCCAGAGCGGTTGGCATCTCCTCCTCGGTGATCTCACCGGCCACGAGTGGGAGCAGCTGAACGACTTCTGCAAGCTGCGCGGTCTGCTCTTGTGCCGGCGGGAGGCCCAGAACGCCAAGCAATGCCAGCATTTTGTTTGCAAGGAGCCTGCAGCGGCTGTGCTGTTTACTTGATAGTGATAGGTGAATTCGAGAGCATCTGGGGAAGGATCCCACTCCCAGCATCCTTGCCAATTCGCCTCTGGACGTCTTTATATCGTAGCTACTATAGTCGACATGTTCCCTGACAGCCAGAAAGGCACGATGACAAAGACCAGTTCAGTCTTGGGATGTCTCCGTGAAACCCAAACCCTAAACACACCCTGTCAAATGGGGGTTTCCGAAAATAGGGGGTACCTTATTCTGGGGTCCTTATAATAAGGATCCTACTATTTAGGGTACTATATTAGGGTCCCCTATTTTCGGAAACCCCCAAATGGGAAAACCCTTGCTTCTTGATGTCTCGCCCAGCTCTTCTCGCGCAGTCGTTTCATGCTGTACTGGCTCCTGAAAGGATGCAAGAGCTCTAACAATCGGGAAACCTAATCCTGGTTATGATAAGAACCCCTGTCGCACGTGAAGGGCTCTTAGTTACCTGACCTGCCGAAAGGGCTATGTGGCTAGGCTCTCGTAGTTGTAGCCTCCTAGGTCAGAAGAACCTGTTGATCGGTATTTTGCGGGATGGTCGCATGTAGCCGGAGCCGAATGGCTATGCAGAGCTATAGGTCTTGGCTACTGCCTGTGCAGTGCTTCCTTTGAGATCGACGCATGGCCTGTGCCTGATTGATGATCCAGAGACTGCCAACGCATGGTGGGCAGTTTCGCCTGCGTTACCTCGCTGCCCTTGCGTTGCCATTGATGCTTGGCTGCCACGGTTCTAAGTTTTCTAGTGCAACAAGATGCAGAAGGAAGCCTACTGTACTTAAGCAGATTTCTGCAGCAACTCTTGCGATCGGGTTGCTTAACGTGTGTTTCCACATGGCCCCGAAGTACAGTCGCAGCAGAATTTAACATTTAGAAGCTCTAAGCCAACTCTCCAAGCCGAAGAAGACCTGCGGTTTTCTGGACCGTGAAGGACGGATTGGGCCTCAGCCACCACAACTTTGCCGGTGCCGCCCTCAGCTACGCCTGTGCTGCGTCTGTTCTTCTTATGGGTAACGTGCCTCTGGACGTTGTATTGCCGGCTCGACGTAGGAGTGCCGTTCTCGACGGTTTCTCCACTCCGTCCCAAGGAGGTTCTGGGTTTGATGAAAGTTCATAGAAACCGTTCGACCTGCCAAATCCGTAGGCGAGACTCCCGTGAAGGATGGATCCTGAGGAGGCCTTGCCTCAAGCTGAGCCGCAACACCCGGAACCTTTGCCAAAGCCCCTCCCCAACCCAAACTGCACACTGAAAGTGGCGGCGATGCATGCACCTGCTTTCATCGAGTAGGTCGCAGCCCGGAAAACACCTAGGCCCCATGCACAGCATCCGCCAACGTAGAGCCAAGGTGGTCAGCGATGCGGCGTCTTGTGGCGTGGTAGATAGGTCACCCTCAGCGGGACCTCTGGGGTGTCACGAACAGGCCAGGGGTGAAAGGAGACGAAAGATCGATGGTTTTGAGAAGGTCTCGCTTTTCGGGGTTGGGCTTGGACACTACACGGCTGTGCGACCTCGGGATTTTGGCATTTGACGGTGGTTTCGGGGTCAATCCCGTGGTTTGAGGGCGAGCTATTTGCTTCGGACTCGAGCTGAGGGTCTAAGGTCGCTGTCACATCCTCTACTTAGACGCAGACATTAGCTGAAATTCCTAGCTGCACTAGCTCTTGAGCGCCTCGACGATCCCGAAGGTGTCTTGGAAAGGAAACTTGGAAGCTTGTGCCAACCTCGCGTCTTCATTCTCTGCCTTTCACAGAACGAGTAGACGCCATGCCATTCCATGCCCTAACTTACCTTTCAGCACTCTAAACACTCTGCTCCGCAGTTTAACAGGGTGGATGCAGTTCTCCAGGTTTTCACTAGCATTGACAGAAGCTGATCTTGTCAGACCCGCCCCTTTAGCGGCACAACAATATCAAAACCGTAGCAGTTGTCATCTGACCGAATCTAACCCTGAGACCCCCCAGCAGCTTCCCCTGCCTTTTTCCGAGAACCCCAGAAAAAAACACTAGAGCCCTCTACTGTAACCCTAAACCTTAAACCTTAAGCCCGAAACCCGCGCCTACGCGCTTTGCACATATGTTTTCCATCTATCAAAGCAGCATCGGTGGCGCATGGCGGTCGTAAAAAGCCCGAAACCCATATAACCCACCTGAAGCCTTACGCCCTAAGCCCCAAGAACCCCATGGTGTCCAAAAAACAATCCCACACCCCTACTCGGAGGTTCATGGGTAGTTATAAGTCGGGTTATAAGTCCCCTGATATGGGTTATACCTACAGTTACCTTACTTATAGCCCCACTTATAAGTACCCAAGAACCTCCAAGCAAGCACCTCCAGGCGACGACGGACTGCCCGGGCCTGACGGATCTCTCCAAAGCCTGTCCGGCCAGCTGTCCCTACGTGGCTCCGCACCCCTACCTCAGCCGCTTCACTTCGGTTCAAGAGGGGTGAGTGTGAGGGTTCTAACACTGGCTGCTATGAGGGTTCAGGTTTGAGGCTTTCAGGGTTTTCAGGGCTTCGAGTTGAAGGGTTTACAGTTTTTTCAATGTCTTGACCCCCTTATCTTGCAATATTGGGCGCCACTAGCCCCAATCATTGCACAAATGGTGCCACAATCAAAAGTCGAGAGTAGCGCCACCAAGACTCGTGCGATCATAGCAACTGTGTTTGGAGCAGCAGCGCATTATTGGTAATGCTAGTAGTAAATTATCCGGAGCATCACCAACAGATTTTTGGACACTAGTATCGATTAGCATGAACTTGAACTCAATAGTAATGCAGACTCGCCTGCACCCTCCCAACGTTCAAACTCTCGTTTTATACAAGGGTTGTATTCGAGCTGTTTTGAAATTAAAAGGGCTCTATAGGCATTCCAGCTGTCTTGTGAGGCTGCGTGTTTGAGTGCGCTTCTGCAGCAAGCTGTTCCAGCGCCAACAACGGCCGCGCCTTTCCGTGGCTTGTCTAGCAGGAGAGTAATTAGGACACATGAGCCTCAAGCAACCTTCTTTCTCATATTGCTTGTCGTGGTGACAGTGACAGTAGCCAGGATGATGGGGACAGGAGGGTGATGAACGCGATGTCTTGTTCATATTGCCACTATCAACAACGTAGCACCATCTTGGACTCTAGGTTTGTCCTTAGTACTGCAACATGCGCTGTTGTGACTCTTATGGCGCTCATCACTGCCCAGTATCCGTTGAATTTCACTGCCGTTCTTCGTAGAACAGTTTGAAGGTGCAGTTCGCGAATACATTCTCAGGCGATGCTGTGCTTGCCAGAACTGCTCGTGTGTGTGATCATGCTCCGTATTTATTTCTCGTTTGTGCTACTCGTGATGCCGAGCGGCACGATCCAGGTTTCAGAGACAGACTCCCTCCACCGTCTGGCTCGTCCAGCGGGTTTAGGGACTCCCGGAGAGCCAATACCTCTACTTACGTGCTGTCCGACTTGGAGAGTCTGCATGCCCAAAACCTTACTGTTCTGTAGCGGTCACTGTCAGCTGGGTGTATGGGAAAAGAAAGGTAACGTCTAAGGGTACTAACAGGGCTCCTGTCGGGGTTGCTGGTTATAGAATGTTTACCATAAGGGTTCCGGCTCTAAGACCACCAGCCCAGGAACAATCGCACGAAGCAGTGCGAGCCCTGTGCAGTTGTAGGATGCAAGCGCTGTGATTCGCAGGCTCGCAGCGGCTTGTTCGCGGTGTGGGGTGGAAGTCCTTCCGTGGTTCCACCGTTTACATGGTGTCAAACTAAATGCAGCAGACTTGTTCTGGATTAGGATTTAGGGCTCAGAGATTTTAGTGCATTGAAATAATTAAATGACCCTAAACTCTACCCCTTATCAGTACAGCTGAAGAGAGGCTTTTCCATGGTCTAGCTTCGTTGCTCAGACACCTTCCCCGGCATGTCGAATTTGCGAGAGGCACAACCGCTGCTAGTGCCCAGTGGTGATTCTCGCTCATTGTCCTCGATAGTGCAAGCTGTAAGTTGTAGTTCCAGCGATTGATGCATCTTTCCGCCGAGCCAGGGAAACTCTCATGACCAAAAAGGTGGTGTATGCCAGACTAGTCGTTTGCGGGGCGTGAAAGTCTGTTGAAAGTCTTAAGCCCCAAAACCGCGAGACTGGACCACCTGGTGAGAAGAACGGCAACCTGAAACCCAAACTAGACAGTGCATTGTTACCGTCACGAGCGTGCAGCGATAAACGGTTTCGTTTTATACATGCACCTCGGGGGTTGCAGCCCTGCTTGGTGTTCCAGCTTCCAGCAGCGCGAGTGTCTGTCGGCACTTTTCCGTTTTCATTACACGCGGAGCACCATGATTGCGCGTGAGGCCGAAATAGTAATATAATATAGCATAGTATAATATAATTTACGCTCCGAAGCCCTGTTCACGCGCGCGCGGCAGGACAGGGAAGCGTTTTGCATTGCAAATACCACGAAAAACACAACTGTGTTGCTGATTTGTGCGGGTTGGGAAATGAAGTGTTTGTGCGTCAAAACGCGTTAAAGCTCGAAAAATGGCCTCTGCGCAGCTGCCAATGACAGTGTCCCGAATCCAGGCAGACGCCAACGGATTTTGTTTTGTATGGGCTATTGGCAAACGCTTGTTTGGCAGAAGGTGTGAAAACTCGAGGAGTTTGACCCTCCGACGTTGTCGGAGCAACCATTTATCAAGACAATAACAACAAGTAGGAAAAATGCAGGAGCATTTTGGCTCGTAAAAACCGTCGCGGAGGCCCTTGAGCACCTGACGAGCTTACATATGTGGCGCGAACCGTGAAAAACCCGAGGAATTTGCTATTTTTGTTAGCATTGATGTGCTTTAGAGCAGACACGTGGACGGCTCATCGCAGGCGTCAACGCAGGACGAAAATCGATTTTTGAAGGAGTTTCTTGACATGAGTCGATAATGATATCTTGGAAAACCGTGGCAGGCACGGCATTTTGTGAGTTCCATGTGTTTTCACGTGGTTTGTTGTTTCTTACTTTTTTTTTTTTTTTTTTTTTTTGTGTTTGATGGGCACGCTTGACCGCGAGACAGGAGTTCTGGACAGGGAGAAGTCGTGGACTACAGGGCATTCGGAGTATTATTGAAGATTTGTTTATCGGAGCTGAAGAATGGCTAAGTGATACTTTATGGCTAAGTTATATTCGATTTCTACCATGTTTTGGTTAGTGAAGTATGTAGAGACATTCGAAAGCCCTGAAGATCCCTCCGCCCCCGCCAAGCACCGAAGAGAAGCCGAGGGCCCCGAAAGCAGAAACCCAAGAAGTCAGAACCCAAGGGTCTGGGGGGCTTCGAAAGAACTCCACTAGAAGGAAGAATATTGTGGTATCCTCGGCAAGTCAAGCACGGCATCCAAGAAAGTCAAAAACCTGCAAGACGACAACCGACCTGCTGCCAGGGCTTAGTGTAGTGGCAGCAGCATCAGCAGCTGTAGCAGCAGCAGAAGCAAGAGGAGCACGAGCAGTAATCGTAGTAGTCCTATGTAGTGCTAGTAGCAGCAGAAGCAAGAGGAGCACGACCAGTAATCGTAGTAGTCCTATGTAGTGGTAGTAGTTGTCGCAGTAGTAGAGCTGTAGCAGTCGACCTGACGGAACTAGCCCCCCCCCCCCCTACCCCCACCCCTAAGTCGCAAAACCGTGCGTGTGCCGACGTTTTCAAGCCCTGAATTCCTAAACCCTCGTAAAAACCGACGTGAAAGGCTACTAAAACACAGCGCTAAGCGAGCGTGAACAGGGCTACGGGAAGGATAATTTAGTATGATATCACTTATGATATAACATAGTTTGATATAATACAGCACAACATATTACAGTACAGTATCAGTATAAACGTATATTATCTAAGCTCAAGATCTCGACCCCTCAGCCCGGCTCCCGAAACCCTTTGGGTCCACAGTGCCGGAGCCGCTTCCTGCTGAACCTACTTGGAGGTTCATGGGTAGTTGTTAATTGGGGTTTTAAAGTAGGGTAACTGTAGTTAGTCCCTTTTTTGGGGGACGTCTAGCCATACTTATAACTACCCATGAACCTCCGAGTAGAAGTGCGAAAGCTCAGAAATCGCTACAGTGCTCTAGACCATCCAAGAGCAAGCCTTGTGCTGCTTCCTGCCACAGGACACCTGTGCCGAGTGCTTTGACAACTTTTGGCCCGAATTTGGGGGCAGAGTCTGTGTGCCTTGCTAAATTTTCATGGCTTCTGTGGCGATTGAATTTTTATAACCGTGGTAATGATCACATTACTGCTTATTCTCATGAGTTCGCTGTTGTGACCGTGGTTGCGATGTCGAAATGGGCGGTAATGTTAAGAGGGTTGCTCTTGACCATCAGTGCTTGTCTTCTTTTTATTGTGTCTATGACGCTTTGCGTATACGTATTGTCATTGCGAATGTGTGCTGCTTAGTCGGTTGGTTCGGATTGCTGTTTTCGCTGTTGTTGCGAGGAACCTCCGAACAGTTATACGAGGTTATATGATGTCTCGTGTTTGTTTCCTGGCTAGGGTTGTTAATATATGGGTAGTTCTCTAAATCAGGGTCCCTTTTTAGGTCCTCAATATAGTACGGCACCCTTATGAAAAGGACCCTAAGACCGCACTCTAATTTAGAGAACTACCCATATCCTACACGAGCAAATCCCCTCCGAAGTGTTTATGCGAGCACGGCTGCAGCACCTGCGGCTTTGCAACATTCAGTTTAATGATGGACGGTTGTGGTCATGGAAGCTTGTGGTCGTTGTTATTTTTTCGATATCACTGCGAACGCTCTCTTCGACATTTTCAAGCAATCGATCGTTTCAGCAATCAGAACTCATGCTACTCCCGTCCTTGTTCGGCCAGCTGCAGATTCACACATCCCAATCTTTTTGAAATCCCGATCAAACACTGCGAAAAGCACCTCTCTCTTTGGAAAAGCAGCTCATGGCTGCCAAGCTCTCCTGGCAGCTGCAGGTATTCTTCTCCCAAGCATCATCGCATGCGCACGAGCTGAGGTTTACGTTTGGGACGATCGCGCCCAGAGCGGCGTCAATGCAGCTTTCTCTTTCGCACTGCTGACTATTCTCCTTGTCTCAGCTGGAGCCCACTTCTCGGTTTTGTAATCTACGCTGACGGGCTTTTGCTTGTGCCTTGCTGGCATACGGAGCTGACAGGGGGTTGTAGGTGGCAGGGGTTCAAGACCATGGAAGCGTCATTCTGGAGGCTTCTTTTGTTGAGTGCGTTTGCTTTGAACTCTAGGAGGTGTTCTTCGTTCCAAACCCCTGGGAGCAGGAGTCTATGTGATCGATCGATGCAACTGTTTCGGCCGGTGCCTTCCACAAGAGATCGAAAGCACCGTCAATGAATTAGAGGAGGACGAGGAGCTCTTGCAGCAAAGGTGGAGAGGTTCAGGTTGTGCGAGATGCCATTGATTGTCGAAGTTTTTCGGCGGGTTTAGAAAGTCGGATTTTCGCTTCGGGACATATGGCAAGCACTTTCTGTAGTGTTTCCTGGAATTGGGGGATAGGAGATGACGGCTGCAGCATGTGGGCGTGTGCCGAGGAAGATGCCCTCGTCCGTGTACAGCGCGACTGTAGCTTGTCCAAGTTTGACACGCAAGGCGGGACGGGGGCGAGCCAGTGTGATTTCGTCGGACGGCAAGAAGAGTGAGTGCTCAGACATGTTTTCAACTGGCAGCATGGGAAACGCTGAAAATCGCTTCAGGTGAGATAGAGGCACCCACTCATGGTCTTTGAATCAAAACCGGCTTATAGTATAACAAGTGAAGTTAGCGCAGCTCTGAACTTTCGTGGTTGGTACAGCAATTGACGCCGGCTTTGGAACATGACTGGTCGCTTGAGGCTTCACTGTTTTTACTTGACGGCGGTGTGCTGCTAGCCTAGGTTCACACTCCGAGTTGAATGTTTCAACTTTGGTTTAGCCCTTCGTTTCATACCCGTGCCTGGCAGGCCACACTGAAGAGGCCATCGAGATTGATGATTATGACACCACACTTATGGCGATCAACCAGGGGAAGCTCCATCGATTGCGGTGCAAGGTCGGTATTCTATCCCCGCTTATGCACACCCACACTCGCGCTACCTTGCGCTTGATCTTGTAAAATTGTAGGTAATTGTAATAATGATGATAAGAATCATAATAATAATTAACAATAGTACTGGTTATCATTACTGGTAGTCTCAGTATGACTATTATTACTATCAATTTTGATTCCCCCTCAGACCATATCTTGCTGCACTTTCTCAGGCCAAGGCCTCCAAAACCCTAAGCCGTGGAACCGAGTTGCGAAAGTTGCATACCCTGTAAAGCCTTTCTTGTTGGGGTTCCTTGTTATGACTTCTTTATATAAGTGTTGAAAAAGGTAGGTTATTCGGGGTCCAGGTAAAGCTTGCCATCCCAAAAAAGGAGCTACTGTCCGTTGACAATAACTTGACTCCTCCAACGCTAAACTCAGAACCCAAGCCCCGAATCCTAGGCCCCAGATGCTTATCAAACCCCATGGAACCTTTCATAAAAAAACTTGAAATCCTGAAAAAACCGTCCAACTTCAGCCATAGAACTCTCAGGAACTCCAGAGGCCGTAGAACCCTTAGCGCATTCCAAAACAGCCGTCCAGCATCTTCCAAATCAGAGGCCACAGAACCCTTATGAAATCACGGTAAAGCCTTCGAAACCCCACAGGTAAAGAACCTGGAGCCGCACCGCACGGCTGGGATGCGCCACTCACAAAGCCTCCTGAGCCACATGGAGCGGCAGCAGGTGGTGCAGGATCAGTCGCAGACTTTTGAGAACGGGTTCAATATTCGGATCCCAAGTCTAATCCTTGTAGAAGGGGGAGCTATTCTCCAGGCTCTACACGGTCTTTGTCATGTTTTGCCATTATAGGCATGATTGGGAAGCTGCAGGCAATCGCAGTGTTCCTATTCTGCTAATTGTCGGCTATCAGGACCACTCCTAGTTTTCTTGTCCTTCTTGTTCTGCCATCAGCTTCCGGATGCTCACTGGCTAGAAACACGGAGACCGTGGGCTTAGATAGCTTGGCTCATGGGACTTTCGGTGTGTAGGCAATGAAGTAAGGTTTGAGGGCTCAGGGTTTATTGGGGAGGGATTTCCTGTGCTGTAACCCCCTACGTCCTTGTTGAAATCCACAGGAGGCCACACAGAAACTGAGTACGCCGTTTCAATGCTACTCCTTGTTGACAGCCGGGGCATTCAGGACTCAACAGCCGCGACGCTGCTGGGACGTTTCAAGAACGTGCACTTTGGCGTGCTACAGCAGCAGAAAGAATGTTTGGGCGCATGATCGTGAGTTACTGCACTGCCCCAATAAGTGATTAGGCAACGCTCTCCAGCTCCCTATGCCGGTTCTTCGATTATTTAGACTGCGCCGATCCCGAACTACACGCTCTTCGTTTCGCAGCCATGATAGCACCTTCAAACCCCTATACACCCCAAATCCCCTAAATCCTAAGCCCTAAACCCGAACCCTTACAGATCCCTTTCATGATCCCTTCACGGAATCATGAACCCCAAGACTCCCAAGACCAAAGGCCCCAAATATAAGGGCTTAAATAATTACCTATACTGTTTTGAGGGTTAGTATGATTATAGTAGAATATATCCCAAAACCCTTTTTTAGTTATTTTCTAGCTATTGAGGCCCCTATATCATAGGGTTTAGGGTTTAGGTCGACCTTGCTTGCAAGCCTGCAGCAAAAAAAGGTCGACCTCCAAAAGAAGTTCCTGGTGGGTGTCGGCCTACCACTTTTCCACCAGCCGCGCGGATTTTCAAGGTCCTAGGTTCAGCTTTGAGGGCTTCGGGGTTTGGGCGTAAACCTTAAAAAAATCCTCAAAACCCTAAGCCCTAACCCTAAACTCTAAACCCTAAACCCTAAACCCTAAACCTTCAAAACCTTAAGCCCTAAACCCACAACCCGAAACCCTTATCGGCCCTTACGACTCTGGCCTTGAAAGGCGGAGGTTCATGGGCTTTCTACCGTCTGCCTTGGTCGTTTAGGGTTTTAGGTTTAGGGTTTAGGGTTTAGGGTTTAGGGGTTTGGGGTTTGGGGTTTGGGGTTTTGGGGTTTGGGGGAAGCCTCTGCTGTTATGTGTTGTTGATGTTGCACATGCACTTCAACTTCCAAAGTTCAGTCGCTGCACGTTGTGCTGAGCACGTGTGTGGCCGACTTCCCCAGCTGATGATCGGGTTTAGGGTTTAGGGCCACATTTACTTCATGTGCAGTTGCCTTCCGCCCCGAGGCCTCGAAGCCGGGTTTAGGTATGTTTGGGGTTTAGGCGTGAGATCGGTGGAGCCAAAGAGGAATAGACGGGTTTTAAGCTTCCGGCTTTCAAGTTTTTGGGTAGCATCTTGCAAGTCCAAGAATTCACAGCTCGAAGCTGAAACAGCGGCGAAAAACCCGAGGTGGCACCTGTTCTTGATTCTGTACAGCCTGATCATGTGTGCCGGGCTGCTAGTCGAGGTAAAGTGCTCAGGGCTTGGGTTTGAGGGCTTTGGGGATAGGGTGCGGGTTCAGCGGCTGGCCTGTGCAGCTCTCTTAAGGGAAAGGCAATTTGCGCAGGAAGGCGGGCACAGACACAGAGCGACCGACTAAGCCCTCGCCTCGTCTAGCATGACTAGGGGACCTTGCAAGTGCAACACCCGATCTTCAAGGGATTGCGACCCCTAATCCTAAAGGGATTCCCCTCATGCAGTTTGCTTTCACATGATGAAAGAACAGTAATGCGAGAATGCGACACCCCCCAATGCCTCGCACTTTCTCGGGCTCTTTTTTGATTAGCGCCAACGCTGAAATCTCAGAGCCAGGCAAAGCCCGGACTAATCGCAAGGCTGAAAGGTTGCATCCATGATGTAAGATACCCTGCTTAAAACAAAACCTCACTTTAAAAGGGTTTAATTCCTATCCTAATATGAGGGGCGTGAAAGGGGGTAGAACGGAAGATTTCCTGGAACCACGAGCAAACGGCCCCTTCCTTGCAGGGCTGTCTTCGTCCGCATTTCCGGTCGAAGGCTCTGCAGTAGGGCTTTAGGTTGGGCGATGGGGGCTTTTGATTCATAACCCTAAACCCTAACCCTTAAAACCAGGAGGCAAAAAAACCCTTAAAACCCTAAACCCTAAACCCTAAACCCTATACCCTAAACCCTAAAACCCTCATAACTGTTGGTTAGGGGAGTTTTGGTGTTGTTTGCTTCGGGGTTGATGGCAGCAAGGACTGCGTGGATCTACTTGGGATCAACGCTCAGCGGGCAGCTGATGCGCACCGGCTTAGACCATGTGAGCCACATCAGCGAAAGCGAGGAGAATGCCTCATGGCCGAAACATAGCCACTACCATGTTGGAGCTAGTATCTAGGATGTTATTGCTCGCGCTCTCTCTCTCTCTCTCTGTGTCTCTCTCTGCGTCTCTCTCTGTGTCTCTCCCTGTGTCTCTCTCTCTGTCTCTCTCTCTGTCTCGCTCTCTGTCTCTCCCTCTGTCTCTCTCACTCTCTCTCTCACTCTCTGACTCTCTCTCTCTGTCTCTCTCTCTCTCTGTCTGTCTCTGTCTGTCT